GCCTATATTTCACACTATAGTTCATTGGTCTGAAATGATTTTGTACAGAAAAAACTAGTTTTTTTTTCCTAGACAAATCATGTTTTCTCATGTCATCCAAGTACTTGTTCAAAATGAAAAAAAAATTTAAAAACATGAAAAATCATGGTTCTCATTCACTTAACAGTGAAGCACATATGCAACTTTACAAGATAAATAACTACCAAACTTAAATGTACATGACGGAAATGCATTAATCCATAGAGGCAAGTTCCTATATTTTGCACTAAGGAGTGGGAAAAACCTCATGATTGATGTGGGAAAGCTAAAGCCTTTGTGAGTAGCACCATCCCTAGACAGGCGATTCCTGGCTATTAAATAAAATCATCTGAATACGAGATAGAGAGTGAGCCAGTAAGCAGTGTCCCCCATAGCTTCATGTTTATTGTAAGACACATTCCTCTGTATTCTCCTTTGATTGAAAGATTTCCTCCAAACTGAAAGGAGATGGTCACCAGGCTCAGTTGATAAACAGGAGACAAATAAAAGTTTACAGTCTGGGTGAATAATAACTTGCAAAGTTTTAAAGGCCCCTACCAACAGAGTAAAATGGAGTAAACAGTTGTGGAAGCTTGAGACTGACTAGATGACATTCAGGAAGAAAGACAATGGGAGTATGAATCTGCACATGAGCTGTATGGCGTGCTTCTAGATTGTAGTTTTTTAGGTTATCACCCATGTTAGTATGGGATTTCTAGAAATGTAGCTGCTTTTGAAGTATTCCTGCTACTTCTTTTAAAAATATATATTTATTTTACATACCTAAATAGTCCCTCACCCATATTCCTGCTAGTAACCTATTAAAAATCTCATTGGTTCAATAAAGGGAATGTTGATGTAATCGTTACTCTGATCTGTCTTGGGCTACCTTTTATGAATTAAGGTGTGTGTGTGTGTGTGTGTGTGTGTGTGTGTGTGTACTTCTCTCTCTCTCTCTCTGTGTGTGTGTGTTTCTGTATATGTATATATTTGTGTTTTGTCTATACCTAGGGAAAGTGTATCATACAACACTGTTTAAGTTCTTGCTTTGGCTTCCTTTGGTGACGTATTGTAATCTGAAAGTGTAAGTGAAATATATCCATAACTCCCCTAAATTCCAAAAGTTCAGAGTGTTTTATCACAAAACTGAAAGAAAACTAGGACAACCACTTAGTACGAAGTCTATAACTATCAAACTTATATTTAGGTCTTTTCTGTTTTAAAATTGCATTTGTCAAAATTCCAGATCAATTTTTATGACTCCTTAGCTGCTACAATATTCCTTAAAAGATGTATGGATTATATTCTATAGTGCAGAAAAATGTACTAACCTGAAGGAGCTAAACACCACAGTGAAAGGAGAAGATCTCAGTGGGAAAGAAATGTGTTCATTTTCCTTTGAGATGAAGAAATAAAAAGTACTTTTTTGCCAAATAAAAGTATGACATTAGCATCATATAAACTGTTTATAGGGGGAAATGGCCAGTGTATGCAGGAAGCTAAGTCAGACAATGTTAGCAAAGAGAATGTGAAATACTTCAGACATAACTGCCTATGGAGTGATGAACACAGTTTATAGAGAAGATTCTTGTTCCCATAAACCACCACCTTGTCTCTTTTGGGGCACTGACTTCAATTCTAGAGCATCCTTGCCAAGTGCACACTTGTACAAGGACACAAAACTAAAATTCTATTTGTCCTCTCCTTAAAGCCTCTGAGCAAATCTTAGGCATCTATGGCTTTCCTCATCTAAGGTCTCCTTTATGGTAGCTTCTGTACTGGCTGGTTTTGTGTTTACTTGACACAATCTAGAGTCATCATAGAGAAGGGTGCCTCAGTTGAGGAAAGGCCTCCGTAAAACCCATCTGAATGGCATTTTTTTTCAATTAGTGGTCAATGGGTGTGGGCCCTGCCCATGGTAGATGGTGCTATCCCTGGGCTGGTTGTATTTGGTTCTGTAGGAAATCAGGCTGATCAATCCTTGGGAAGCAAGCCAGTAAGCAGTACCCCTCCATGGCTTCTGAATAAGTGCCTATCTCCAGAAGTTTGTCCTGGTTTGAGTTCCTGTCTCAAATTCCTTCAATAATGAACATCAATATGGGATTATAAGCGAAATAAACACCTTTCCATTCAACTTGCTTTTTGGTTATGACATTTTGTTGCAACAATAGAAACTCTATTTTTTTACTGTCATTGTTATTTCTTCATGATCCTATTGATCAAACCTACAGCCACTTACATACCAAGTACATATTTCACCACTAAGCTTCATGCCTTGTCCACCACAAGAGGTTCCCAATGTTAAACGCTTCAGTTTATTTCATTCACTCACAAGCACATGCAGTAATTATTAAAAATCCATTGGCACATAACATAAATTACACACTACTAAATGCTTCAGTTTATTTCATTCACTCATAAGCTCATGCAGTAATTATTAAAAATCCATTGGCACATAACACAAATTACACACTACAGGCTCACATTCCCTCATTTCCCGTGACATGTCCATGGGTTTTGCTATTCAGCTAAAGGGATAATGATGGGGGGGATAGAGCAGAGAACACCTGGAAGGTACCCACCCTTACCCACACTTTGAACACAAGCTAAAGGGGAATCTTCCTTGATTCTCTTTTACTTTAAACATCATTTTAAGGCACTGGGCAACTTTAGGAGAAAGTCTAGTACTCTTTTTGTGGTCACCATCCAAAGTTTGTTTCCCATAAATAATTGTGGTTTCTGTCAAAGGATTAGGATATTTGAGATGTCTTTGCTTTGGGTGACAGTACCACAGAAAGAGTTCTTGACCAGTCTCAGAAAGTAAATCAGTGCTCGCAATGAAGATGTTTGTAGTGGCCCTGGGATGCAGATCCACATCGAGAGTGTGGGGACTGCTGAGAGAAAATGCTTTTGATTCAGTCCTGGGTTAGTAATTGTGCTCAGAGGGCTGCTCAGAGAAGGCAAACGTTCTTGTGAAAGGATTTGCTACAACTGGGTTGACTTATTGTGGGTGAGCACTTTTCTTGCCAGAAAACTCCAACAGCCCACAGTAAAAGTTCTTTATGCACACCTGCAATTATGCAAACATTCAACAGCCTTTGCTTCTGGAGTTCATATATAGGCAGGAGGCTGGCTGGGAGGATTTTGTTGGAAGCTTTTCTTTCTGATAAATTCTTGGATTGGACAATGATTCCATATAGGTTGTAAATTAGAGATGTCTACATTCGGGTGTATGAGGGAGTTTCCATTGTGTCCACAGTGAGAGATTTTCCATTGTGTCCATGGTTTATTTTGGAATTTTCAGGAGTCCCTTTGGGACACTGACCAGCTAGTTCCCAAATCATGGCTAGATCTTTTTACTTAAGTTAACCCATTTGTCTTTATCTACCTTTTGCCTCTGGCTTATTACCTTTGTTACTCTATATAGCTTACTTACTGAGTCTTGTTTCTATCTGGCTAGGGTCTGCCTGGTTTCTTGCCACTGGTTTCTTCCTCATTCTTTCTTCTTCTTGCTTACCCTCCCCCATTTTCTTTAATTTTTTTATATTAGGAATTTTTTATTAGAAACAAGCCTACTTCATGTCAATCTCAGCTCTCTCTTCCTCCCCCTCCTCCCCTGCCTCCCACCAACTCCCCACCCCATCCCCCCCTCTGCTTCCCAGGGAGAGTGAGGCCCTCCATGGGGGATCCCCAAAGTTTCTCATATCATCTAGAGTTGGGCCTAAGCCCTCCCCGATGTGTCCAGGCTGAGAGAGCATCCCTCCATGTGGAATGGGCTCACAAAGTTAATGCGTACACCAGGGATAAATACTGATCTCCTACCAGACACCCCATAGATTTCCAGCATAGATTTATCCTCTTATTCCCTCTTCTTGGTAGCTGCACCTTTCCTTTCCCTGCCTAGCTACTGACCAGCTCTTTTTGAGACCAATCAGGTGCCCTAGGTAGGCAAGAAGAAACAGATACAACACATATTTACATAACTAAACACATATCCTTACATCATCAAACAAATAAAGCATAAACAGAAGTAACACACATTTACACAGTAATATTCTCCAGCGTAAACAAATGTAGCATATCTTTGTCTAGTTAAAATAGCATTCCAAACATGAACTCAGTCAGCTAGTCATGTCCTATCTAAAGCCAAAAGCAGAGAGCAACAAATGCACCCATTCTGCCTGTATGTCTCTGCTTATGTTCTAGCTTTCTTCACTTTTACATAACTCAGGTACCAATCAATGAAATGACTCTGCCCTTTTTCAGGGTGAGTCTTCCCATTTCAATTACCAACCTATAAAGTCTCGCAGATAGGTTCAAAATCATCTGGTCTAGACAATTTCTCATTGAGAGTTCTTCCCAGGTGACTTTAGTTTGGGTTAGGCTGATAACAACAGTAACAAGTACACTGCCTCACTATCATTTAAAGATTTGTGCCTCGAATCTAGAGTCTCTAGTGGGATCCTATGCTATATGTTCATAAACATGAACGGATTTGCAAAGGAATTCCCTGAATGTCTTTTTCCCATAAAGAAAATCAGGTTATGTGTGGCAGATTCCAGCTCTCTATCCAATAAGAGCAGACCACTTAGAACTACTCAACATAGTGGCCATCACACCACCACACATATGCTGATGACACAGATTTTAGTCACACTGTGAGCTCCTCTAGCCATATCACTCCCTTATCGGTATTTGTTCTTAGTCTGTGCCAGCCTCTTCCTCTGGCACAAACACTGTCTGGCCAATTTCTATTGCCATCTTAAGCCAAGAGAATCTGTATATTTTCTATTAATAAGCAGTAACCAGAAGCCCATAACCAGCATATTTCCTGCTCTTTTCTTTGTTGCAGCATATCATTTTCTGTGTCTTTCCTTCTCAGGCACAATGCAACCAAGTTGGGCAGTGGCTGCAGTGGGTGCAATTTGTGCACAGATCAACGGTGAGCCAGGCACTCACATGACCATTATTTCTCTTTGCAGGAGTGGCCACCATGAACATCATCCTGGGTGTGCTTTGGATCAAAGAGATCACTGATGAGTCAAAGACCATCAGGAAGCTGTTCCCAGGCTTGTTTCTTGAGGACCAGTGGTTCTTGTGCTGGTGAATGCCTGTGAGTGGTTTTGGCTTTGTCTTCTGTACAGGGGGCAGGTTCGCTGTGCTGATCAGTGTCCGGATTTATGGAAGACTGATGGGGAAGTCCTGTGTATATGTCGATAAAGCACTGTTGGCCAATAGGGAAGCAAGATAGGTGGGACTAGGAGTCCAGCAGGAGAAACACAGGGAGTCACGATTTAGCCGCCATAGGTATAAGAAGTCTGGATGCTTTCTCTGGGAAGAGAAATACTTAGATTAACAATTATGGAGTAAATACTTAAGTAAGAGACATCCAGTAAGAAACAAGCAAATGGCCAACAGCTGCATAATTAATACAGTGTCCTGTGTGTTATTTGGGGACTACAACATGGCAGGGCCCAGGCGACTGGTGGGGAAAAACCAAAGTGGCTGGCAAGGAGAAGGCTTCACTCAACAGAAGACCATCTGATGGGGGAAGTCCTGTACATTTGTTAATAAAGCACTATTGGCCAATAGGAATCTAGATGGGTGGGACTAGGAGTCCAGGAGGATTCTGTGAAGGAGAAACACAAGAGAGTTCGAGATGTAACGCCATTGGGGTAGGAAGCCCGGAAACCTCTCCGGTAAGAGACATACTTAGATTAACAATTATGGGGTAATTACTTAAGTCAGAGCTAGCCAGTAAGAAACAAGCAAGGCCAACAGCTTCATAATTAATACAGCGTCTTGTGTGTTATTTGGGTACTACAATGCAGCAGAGCCCAGGCGACTGGCGGGCGGGAAAGCCTCTCAAAGAAAAAGCTTCTCTTAACAACCATCAAGTAAAAGTTGGTTATAGTCTAATTTGAATCTGTGTTTTTTTTAAACTATCTAAGAATAAAACATGAAAGAGAAAATATTAAGTGAGCTAAAATTCACAGTAATGGAATAGGCACCTGGGTTTCTCTTGAAACCAATTAGTCTCAGTGAGAACTTTGCAAAGTCATTTGTTACTGGCCTTCTTGAAGTGAGTTCTAGGAAAATATTCATGACTGAGAGTAGCACTCAGATTTAATATGGCAGTGTCCCGCCCACAGTCCTGGTCCCTTGCTTGTGTGCCGATAATTTCTCCTTCCTGCATCAACCAGGTTATCACAGCACAGCTAGAAAAGTATGGTGACATGACTTACACACATCAGGAGAACAGAGAATTGAGAATGTCCTCCTGTGGGAAGTAAGGATTCCCTTCTTATAACAATGAAATGAATTTCCTCTCAATAGCCTCAAGGGAGTGGCAGAGCAGTTGCTATGATTGTAGCCTATAGCAGAGGCTATGCGCCTTGGTGGAGAGTGTACCTGTGCAGGCTAGCGATGGGAGAGGGTACATAAGAGTGGAGGCCAATTCTTTGCTCTTTGCCATGGCATATCTCAGAATATATTAAAGAAAATTTCTTTTGATGAAGCTTTCCTGAGAACAGATCCAATTTCTGTGACTGGAGGCAAGACAGAGAGTATATGCACCCAGGAAATTATACCATGAGTCCTGGGATAGGGGCTGACAAACCAGAGCTCTAATCTCAGCAGCCAGAGAAGTGGGGTAGAGGTTTTGGCTGGTCTTTGTTATTGGTCACCCTGTTAAATTATCACCTTCTGAGTTGACTCCAATGCAGACAAAACATGGCCATTTGTAGATGCACAAGAAACTATTTGAGTGGAGTCTACAATTGTCAGTTTATCTTCATGTGCTGTTAGGATATTTGATCTCCTTGTCCATCTTCATGGGCTGGGCACATGAATTTTGTTTGCTAGGCAAATGTCCAAGAAGAGGTAACATACTTCATTCACATTCTGAAGGCTTTAAGAGGCAGTAGGCAGGGATAGAGCCTGTGTCCTTCCTGCCAGCTCTGGGTGGCATGGGATGATATAGGATGTATTTCCTTACTCTTGTGACCATGTTCTGGCCCTACATGTCCTCTCTAGCAGCAGGAAGGCTCTGGGGTGACCAGGCCGATTAATCTGGGCATTACAAACACATCACAAGGAGTCATCTTTTCTTCTCCAAAACCATTATGACCATTTGTTGGAGATGCTTTCTTTTTTCCATTGTATAATTTTGGCTTCTTTGTCAAAAAATAGGTGTTCAAAGGTGTGCCATATACATTAGGGTCTTTAATTAAATTTCAACGATCCACCTGTCTGTTTTTATGCCAATATCATGCTATTTTTATTACTATAGCTCTATAGGTGAGCTTGAAATCAGGGAGATGATAGCCCCAGAATTTCCTTCATTGTAAGTGAACTTTTAAGGTTCCCTGGGTTTTTTGTTTTTTTTTTCATATGAAGTTGAGTATTGTTCTTTCAAGGTCTGTGAAGAATTGTGCTGGGATTTTGATGGAGATTGCATTAATGTGTAATTGCCTTTGGTAAAATTGCCATTTTTACTATTTTAATTCTACCAATCCATGAACATGGGAAATCTTCCCATCTTCTGATATCTTCTCTAATTTTTTTCTGCAGACTTAATTCTTGTCATACAGGTTTTTCATTTGCTTGCTGAGAGTTACCCCAAGATATATTATATTATTTGTGGCTATTGTAAAGAGTGTTCTTTACCTGATTTCTTTCTCAGCCCATTTGTTCTTTGTATATAGGAGGGCTACCTATTTCTTTTAGTTAATGTTGTATCGAGTCACACCACTGAAGGTTTTTATCAGCTGTTAGAACTTCTTAGAATTTATGTATACTATCATATCATTGGCAGAAAGCAAAAGTTTGACTTCTTTCTTTCCAATTTTCATCCCCTTAATCTATTTTTTTGTCTTATTAACCTAGCTAGAACTTCTAGAAGAGAGTGGACAGCCTTGTCTTGTTCCCGATTTTAGTGGAATCACATTGAGTTTCTTCCCATTTAATTTCATGCTGGCTATCAGCTTGCTGAATATTGCTTTTATTATGTTTAGGAACATATGTTTATTATGTTGCTTGTGTCCCTGATCTCTCCAACACCTTTATTATGAAGCATGTTGGATTTTGACAAAAGTCTTTTCAGCACCTAATGCGATGATCATGGTTTTTTTTCCTTTCAGTTTGTTTATATGGTGGATTACATTGACAGATTTTTATATTTTGAACCATCCCTGCATCTCTGGGATGAAGTCTACTTGATCATGGTAGATGGTTTTTTTTTTGGTGTGTTCTTGGATTCAGATAGTATTTTATTGAGAGTTTTTTTGTATCTGTTGATATTTACTTTGTGACCCAGTATGTGGTCAGTTATTTAGAGATGATTCCATGAGGTGCTGAGTAGAAGGTATATTCTTTTGTGTTTGGGTGAAATAATCTGTAAATGTCCGTTAAGCCCATTTGAGTCATAACATCTGTTAGTTCTCTTATTTCTCTGCTGTGCTTCTGTCTGGGACACCTGTCCATTGGTGAGTGTTGGGTCTTGAAGTCTCCCACTATTAATGTGTGTGTTTGATGAGTTATTTAAGTTTCAGAATTTTTTCTTTTACAAATGTGGGTGCCCTTGCATTAGGGGTATAGATGTTCAGAATTGAGATTTTGCCTTAATGAATTTTTTCCCTTTGGTGAATATGCACTGCCCTTCTCTATATTTTTAAATTAATTTCAGTTTGAATCTATTTTGTTAGATATTAGGATAACTACATCAGCTTATTTCTTAGGTCAATTTGGTTGGAAAAGCCTTTCCCTCCCTCTTTTGCTGATGTAATGTTTGTGTTTGAAGTTAAGGTGTATTTCTTGTATGTAGCAGAAGGATGGATCCTTTTTTGTATCCATTCTGTTAGCCTGTGTCTTGTTATTGGTGAATTGAATCCATTGATACTAAGAGATATTAATGACCAGGGATTGCTAATTGCTGTTGTTTTTTGTTTTTGGTGGTGGTGATGGTGGTAGTGTGTGTGTGTGTGTGTGTGTGTGTGTGTGTGTGTTTCCCTTCTTTGAGGATTATCTATTGCCTTTAATTTTGTGGGTACACCTAACTTCCTTGAGTTAGAGTTTTCCTTCTAGTACTTTCTTTGGATAGGTATTACTTGAATCTGGTTTTGTCATAAAATAATCTTGTTTTCTCTTTATATGGTGATTGAAAGTTTTGCTGCATATAGTAGTCTGTACTGGTGTCTCTGGTCTCTTAGTGTCTGCAGAACATCTGTCTGGGACTTTCTGACATTTACGAGTCTCCACTGAGAAGTTGGGTATAATTCTGACAGGTCTGCCTTTACATGTTAATTGTCCATTTTCTATTGAATCTCTTAATTTTCCTTATTCTATATGTTTAGTGTTTTAATTATCATGTGGCATTCATTTCTGTCCAGTCTATTTGGTGTTCTGTAAGCTTCTTGTACCTTTGTAGGCCACCTTTGTAGGTACCTTTCTTAGGTTGGTAAAGTTTTCTCCTATGATGTTGTTGAATATATTTTCTGTGCCTTTGAGCAGAGATTCCTATTATTCTTATGTTTGACCTTTGCATGGTCTCCCAGATTTCCTGGATGTTTTGTGTTAATAATTTGTTTGGATTTAACATTTTCTTTGCCAGATGACTCAACTCTATCTTATCTTCAAGCCTGAGATCCTTCCATTTTTTGTATTCCGTTGGTTTATGTTTTCTTCAATTTTCTATCTCAGTTTTTTAGTCTTGAAACTTCCTTCACCTGTTCAGTTTTTTGTTTGGTTTTTCAAGACAGAGTCTCTCTGTATTGTTTGGGAGCCTGTTCTGGCACTCTGTAGACCAGGCTGGCCTCGAACTCACAGTAGTTGGTTTTTTTCTTGACTTTCTTTAAGGGATTTATTTCTTCCATTTCTTTTTGTTTGTCATTTCCTCAATTTCTTTAAGGGAGTGTTTTTCTTTCATCTTTAAGGTCCTCTATTATCATCATAAAGTCATATAACAGGCCATTTTCTTGTGCTTCAGCTGCATGAGAAGGTTCAGGTATTGCTGTTGTATGATTGCTAGGTTTGGATGGTGCCATATTTCCTTTTCTGTTACTGAATGTATTCTTACTCTAGCATTTACACATCAGGATTTGAGATGATCATAGG